GAAAAATGAAATAGATAGTTTACTTTTTTTATCATAGTTGTTTGAGAGCTTGAGTGTTTATTTTGCATAAATCATCAGATTTTGAAACTATATTTATTTAAATTGAAAGTGAAATTGATGATAGTTAAAAACTTGACGGTGGCAAATTCCTGAAAATCATGTCACCTTTTTGTAAATAAGAGTATGTTGATTTTATTTTTTTTTAAATATGTGGGCAATGGAAATAAGAAAACTCGATTGAAAAGCATTTGCATAAACATTTAATTTGTCTAATATTTCTTAAAGCCTTGAAAGAAGTTTTGTTTTTTGTTTGTTTTGGTATACCACTAATCAAGAATTTTATGTTTAAGAAAAACTATGAACATACTCCTTGCTACATAACCAAACAACTTACCATACAAAATGATAGTATAAAAATTACCACGACGGAAAAAAATAAAAAACGATAGTATAAAAATTACCAATATGCAATAATACTTATAGCAAGGAAGATATTCTTCCAAACAAGTTGAAAAAGTTACATAAGAATTTACTAAGCAGCTTGAAGCGAATATAGCCTAGCCTAGTACCACAGGAACCACTCCATCCCCAACACCATCACCATGTTGATATTGCGGTTGATTTTCAACAGATTCACATCAATGATGGTTGGTTTTGGATGGGTGCTACAGCCAAGAGCCAACTGCTTCTGTTGAAGCTGCAAATTAGGTAGCAAGAAAGAATATGTTAGTGTCCAAGTGCAGGGTCTGCAGGCTGTACATCACTAAAAAAACGCAATAGAAGTTTTATCATTTTAAGTGCTGAAGTAGTTGAAGAAGAACCTCTTACTTCTCTAGTTTTGTGTTTCCTTTCAACCACTGCCGTTTACCCTTTTCATGCCAAGTTTTGGTGCTAGATGACTACACTAAATATAAGGAAGAGTTAGCTTTACATTCCTTGTTGCAACTGGATCAGATAGGAAACCAAGGAAATCCCTGCGTTTACATAGATTAGGATACTTACCCAATATTAATTCGGTGTATACAATTTTTTCACTATTTTAAAGAAAAAGAAAGCAACACAATAGAAGGCCTTTCTAGTTCATTAAGACGATGAAGTAAAGTCAAACCTTTGTAGTTTCAGTAGACATCATGTTGCACCATTCATGAGCCTTTATACTCTCCTCTTGTTGTTAGGGCCTGCAACTCGAAAGTAAGGCAACGGAGGAACGACCAGTGAGAGATATCAAGAGTTGGAGAATAGTTTTGACAAAAAAAAACATAGACCTACCTTCTTTGAGTCGGTCATAGACCAGACATTATCATAATTTTGTTCATCATTTTCAGTTCTATGTACCATCCATGGATTTCCTCTTCTTTACAACATTCTTTTTTGCTTACAACAGCTGCCTTTTCTCGGCTTGTACGGGAAATTCTTCATTAGTAGCTACCTTACACTTCTTCCTCCTACATCATCATAAACCATCAATAACCATCGAACACAGATTTAACTGACTAAGAATCGTTCTGGTTAAGATCCTACTTGGAGCTTGGGCTTCTGCTTGAAGCTTAACGTTTCTTTGAAGCCTTCTCCTCCGGCACAAACTCTTCCACTTTCTCTTCGAGCTCATTTTCCTCAGATTCACTTACAAGTCCTCGAGTTTCCTTCTGGAATTCCTTGTTCCCAAGAAGCATTTCACCGGGAAGAAACCAAAGCCTTTTCTCAACCTCAATCACGTTATAAACGTTCTGCTCACTACCTCCCTGAGAATCTCCAACAAAGATTCCTTCTTTCTCTGAACACAACAAAAAACTTGAACTTTAACACTAATACTTAATAGAGCCCAAATGTAAATGCTTTACAAGACATAAACGTGAAAATTATGAAGGAGAGCAATTAACGGAACTAACCAAACGATATTTTCATCCTTCAATACACAGCTTGACGCAAATGGCGGTGAAACAAACCCTTCCATCTGCAATGAAAGATTAACTTTACCATAGTTCTTTAGAAAGCAACTCATCTAGATGCACATAGGAAAGAAGCTAAATCATAATCGGGAGAGAAAATAAGGCATGAATGCACTTACTTTTCCAACTCATGTGTTAGCTATTAAAGCCAAATCACAAACACCAATGTGTAAACGTTTTCAGAGAGTGGTAGAGTGAGAAGCTCAAAGCTAGATCCTAAATATATTCAAATGCGATAATTACCTAACTAAG